TTTACAAACTGTTACTTCATTGTCTGAATTAATGAATCCTGAAAATCAGTTTTCAGGAAATAGTGGGGAGGAAATTGTTGAAGTGCTTTAACATCCTGTCAAAATGTCACCTATGTGCAGGAACGGCATGTGTTCATTTTAAAAAGAGAGAAATGCGGAAAAACACATGACAATCAGATCTGAGCTGAGGAAAAAACCACAACCAAACAACCCACCCAGAAAAAAAAAAAAACAAACCCAAAACCAACCAACCAAACAAATAAGAAAACAAAACCCAAAATGACAAGGGAATAAAATGAAGGGTAAGAGCATTGTCTTTACTGTGAATCCTCATTTCAGTCTCCAGACGGTGGAAACAAGGTCAATGTCTCAGTTTAAAGAATGCAGCCCCCCCCCATTGCCAAGGTACCAGAGACAATGTCAGACTTAATTGACAGATTACTGTCTAATCAATGATTTCTCTGATTAGTGACCCACTGACAATACAACCAAATCAATGTGTTTATTTCAGGCATTAGACCTGATGCTCTAAAAGAGTGAAAACCAGGAAAAAATTACAACATTAAGTAACTTGAATCCCCTGCATACCAATTACACCTGTCATTCAGCTTGCCTATTTACAGGGTTTGAAAGATTTAGTTGACAACAGAAGGGCTAATAAACAGAATCCAAGTCATGTTTAATTATATCAGTTTTATTATCTTAATTAATCAGTCCACTGCTCCGCACTCTAATATCATAATGTTGTCTTTTTTATAATAGGCTACAAAAGATTTCTTTATTTCTGTTTACTTATTTTTTGGCCCATATCTATTGTGGCACTCTTTTTGTTGAATTCACACTCATAGACATGAGGCCAATGTATTAAATCTTTGAAAACTGCTGTTTAGCTGGAGAACAAAAACACCCTGAAAGCTGAATGGAATACCAAAAAGACAAGAGAGTCTGTACTCTAATTAATTTTAGATGAAAAGGGAGAATTAGAAAAGACAAGAAGGGATTTAAAGCTCAGAGGTATCTGGACAGGAATTTGGAAAATACGGTGTAACTGTGCTACTGATGATAAAAATCCGTATACCAGTGCTTGATTACAACCAGAGATTATATTTTAAAAAATGTAAATTATAACTTAATCTATGCCAAGAGTAGACAGATATGCAATATCCTTCTGATAGCTGAGATGAATGTGCAAGGGGGAAACTGGATAATACTGATTTCAATTTTAATTCATGTTTCAAATGCAAACTGTTTTAATTATGTCTAATTGAAATGATTTATTGCCTTAAGTAGCAAGGAAAAAGACCTGAACAGAAATTCAACTTCTTAATCTTTGTGCCACATGCTGTTCCTGTTCTCCATTTGTTTATTGTGTTGAATAAGAAATGGGAGATGTCTGTGTCATGCCTTTGCATATTTAGCTTTTTTGAGCTGAGTTGAATCATGATGTAAAGAGGATATAGTTTCCATAGGAGAGACCCAATGATGTGAAAAGGTGAACCATTTAAAGATGCACTGACAGCCTTCTTTAAAATAAATACAGTTTAAGTTCCAAAGCTAGCAGTAGGTGTATAAGCTGAAAATACCTCAAAAAAAGCTCAAAAGATATTCTGTAAATAAAGCTTCCTTTTTTAACTGACAAAACTTCATTTTGGAATGGATTATTTTTGTGGCTGTAGGAAGTGTTGTTGCCACCACCCAAGAATTCTTCTTGTATTTCATAATTTCATGCCTGAAGATGGGACCTATGGTTCTACCATCGAAGAGCAGTGAACTGGCTACAAACCTGCCCCAGTTACCACTGTCTTCTCATTTCTCTGGGCAAGCAAAACTGCATTTTTGTGACAGCCTCAATGGGCAGATAGAGTGGGATACTCTGGGTAAGGCAGCCTCTGGGTCAGTGGCTTGGGCTGGCTGAGATGATGGCTCCAGCATGAAGACAAGCAAACAAAATCCCTGTTTCCCTTGCCCCTGGAGGAGTCTTTGTGCAGTTGCAGGGCTTTTGGGGAATGCAGATGTTCTTCCAGAGTACTCAGCATTTTCAAGTCACAGAAGGAACCTCTGGAGGTTGACTGTACCAACCAGCAGCTCAAAGCTGGGCCTCATTCGATTGCTGTTGTGAGTGGCAGTCACTTCACTGAACAGCTCTATCAGCCTCTGGCTGTTAAACAGCTCATTGCTGCAGCATCAAGGCTTTGTGGGGTGATGCAGCTCCAAAAGAGCATTCCCAGTTCTCCAAAGGCAACCATACCTGCCCCACTGCCCTCCCCTAACATCTCCTAGCTTGAGGGAAGGTGACAGCCAGGCCTCCAGGGCTTGAAGGGATTTTTTTTTTCTGGTCTTCAAAGGGAAAAATTGGCTAAATATATTGAGAATTGAACTTTATTCTATTTGCCTTTGTGCTGTATATCTGCTTATAAAGCCAAAAATATGGATTTCTGTAAGAATATCCATTGACTTTAGTATTGATAGATTTGCTGATTGAAGTGTGCTTCAGGAGAGGTATTAAAATATATATTGAAACTCCATTGAAATATATAGCTTTTCTGTGCATTTTTAATTTTCTGCAAGAGGGATAATTCCTTGTTCAACTGGGTCTAAAAAAAATTGAAGAGGAATTATCTTCTAGTACAATCTGTAAGGCTCTTTTTAAAGGAATGGAGGTGAAAAAGCAGTTGTGGCAATTTTTGTGCATGGTACACAACTGACCTGAGGGAAAGCAGCCTGCCAGGAACCTCTCACGAGGAATAACTATCCATAGAAATTCCCGTGTTTGAGTTAATGCTTGCAGACAAGCAAAGGCTGATGTCAAAGTTCTGAAGGCCAAATTAGGACAAAGTTTTTCTAGGTTTCTTTGAAGAGCAAAGTGTTTTGGACTATCTTTCGGTTCCTGTAACTCAAGTCTCCTTGACAGCCCATTATTTGTTCAGTCATTACATTCTCTTGATTCTTTCTGACAAACTTATCATACACCCCACTGGGACCACAGCCAAAAAAGCATTCACCTTTATACAAAGGGCCAAATCCTGATAAAGAATGCACAGCTGCATTATCTGCACTGTTTCGTCAGAAAATAGAGCTAAATGAAGATTTCTGCTGCACCTTGTCACTGCTGGTGCAAATCCAAGCCATGGTAACTACAGGATATAGGGGGAAATAAAATACACAGCTCAGCAGTGCAGGTTTCTCCCCACACTAACACTCCTGCACAAATAGCCACAGTAGAGCTTAGATTCATTATACAGAGGTGTGCTTTTATTTTCCTTTTATTGGCTCTCTCTTGTCTATTCCTCCATCCGTAAGGAAGGTGGTGTTTCATTTTTATCTTGTTCACAGCTGCAATGGGAATAATTAATCCTTGTTCAACAGCGGATGCAGTATAGTCAGTCATAGCACCTTTTTTTTTTAATGCTTACAACTTGTTACTTTTTTATATGCTTATTGTTTTTAATTTTATTGTAATTGTTGCTGAATTTTTCACAGTTTTTATTTTAATGATCTGGAGTCTTTCTTTTTTCTTTTTTTTTTTTTTTTTTTTTTTNTTTTTTTTGCATGTCCAGAGTGCTAAGTTCGCTGTCACCCTTCATTCTGTGCTATATTCAGATCTGATATATCAAAACAGATATCACCAGTGTGCATTCTCTTATCTATTTCTGAAGAACTCAGAGTAATAGAGTGACTCCTGGAGACAAATGTGGTGACCTTTTCTATCCATCCCACAGCTAGAATTAATGATTATAAGTGCCTTGCCATTCCACTGGTGTCAACAATGGGTACACCAACACATTAAGTATTACTCCAAACACAGCATAACTTGTACTGTGACTCTGTCTTATTTTAAGCAGAAAATCTTCTTTGCTACAGGATACTTGTACTAAATCTTGCAGTCCAGTCATTCCACAACCAGTCTTTAACTGGTTTATTTATCTATAGGCATATATAATTGCATATATGTGTTTGTACATACATGCAAACACACATCTCACAAACCAAGGAACAACTGAACATGGTGAGTCCCTTAAGAGGCAACTGCTGACAGTGAAGGAGGTGAAAGAAGAAAGAACATTAATTTATTTAATTTTACTGGAACATCTGGATCCTCATTTTACAAGGTTCCGTAATAACATGGAAACATTTCCTATTACTCACACTAAAGTGATAATTTTGGTCAATGCAACTTCCTAGCTTTCCACCGCTGATACAGAACTCTAAACCTGTCACTGTCCTTTTCACAGGGTAAAATTCCTCTGCTATGCATTTTAAGAAATATGATTCACCTTGTAAAAGGCAACAATCTGTCAGCTCTGGGTTCAGGTACCTGCTTATCTCCACTGCTAGTGATTTTCTCCAAGTACAGGAGTGCAGGCAGATAAGGAGGAGTGTCAGCGTAGTTCAAATACACCATCATCTTCTGCTGAGACAGACAAACTAGGAACACGTGCTCTTTTAACCTGAAGCCAGCATTACATTGGCCATTAGGAAGATGGGCTTTTAAATGGAAGGACTGCTGTTGGTTACTGATTACTTTGTGAACAAGACTATTTAATGGACTCTAATTTCCTGTAACTAATTCATTCTTTGGGCTCTGGATGTAATTTTGGAACAATGTAATAGGTGATGCTAATAATTATCTCTCTCTATAAAATCTAAATCTCTAGATCAAGATATATATTTTTCTCTTTTTGTCTCTCCTGACACTTAATCCCTAAAGTGCTTTACAAATAAGGTAGCACAGTTACAGAAATAAAATAGCAGGACATGGAGATAAATTGAAATGAAAAATAAATAATTGATGAAATGTGTATTTTTCTTCCTGTGCATTGGAACAGGCTGCCCAGGGAAGTGGTGGAGTCACCATCCCTGAGGGTATTTAAAAGATGTGTAGCTGTGGCCCTTAGGGACAGGTTTATTGGTGGGCTTTGCAGTGCTGGGTAAACAGTTGGACTCAATGATCCTGGAGGCCTCTTCTAACCCAAATAAATTCTCTGATTTTGTGTTCCAAGGTGCTATCAGATATTGGATCTCTGTCAATGAAGTTGCCTTGCCCATGCTTAAGACAGAGGAGGTGCAGTCCAGCTCAGAGCACAAGCGTTGACTGGTATTTTGACAGTTTTTGCTTCTTTGCACATCAGGTGGGGTTCTCCATTCAGTAAGGAACAACAGAAGTGAGATGTGGGTGTCGTAGCTAAAGCAAAATGCAGCCCACAGGGCTTTGTACAGCCAGCACACAGAGGAAGGCCACCCCGCTTCACCTGCATCGCTTTAAAGCTGCACGTGTCACACAGTGCAGATTCACATTCAAAGCTTTTCCTGCACCTGCAATTTGGTATTTGCATCTGATGCAGAAACCTGGTCTGGCATCCAGTAAATTCCTGCTCCTTTGCAGTTGCTTGTCAGCTGAACCCTGGTGGGAATCTGTGCAGAGGTGAAATGGTAAGTTCAGGCAAGTGCAAGGTTCTGGCTGCTGCTGGTAAATCTCACCTTGAGTCAAACTAAGCCATTTCTTAAGGCCCTTCCTTTGCCATTTCACTAGTGAAGAGTTTTGGCCAAGAGTTCAGGAGTAAAGTAAGAACAAGAAACCCCCAAAAGCAGGAGTGAAACAAAAACCCCTTTTCTGTTTATGATTCCTTTTTCCAGGTCCCCCTTTCTGGCACTCTGTTGTTTTTATGTGCTGGGCAGCAAAATTCTCTGCTTGTCTCTGTGTAAAATCAGCTGTTTCATGTTTTCTAACCAAGTAATATATCTTTATTGATTATGTCTGTGACTCTTTAACAATGACACTATTTGCAGAAATCAAAGTGGAACATGTGGAAATAATAGTAATCTTTTTAAGTAAAGTAATTCCAAAGAAAAAGGCACATTCTGTTCCATTTATTTAAAATTTATTTTAATGCAGCTAATTGGTATTTATTTGAATTAGAGTGATATGACAAAAATCTAGAAAACATATGAAAAATTATAACTATTATAGTTATTAATATTTAATATTTTAATGTGCAGCTACATTTTATCACAAATAAAAATATTTTCTCATTTTGCTCTCACAGCTTTGTATTATTTTTATGAAAACTAGATTCTCATTACATTTGTTGGTTTTAATCAGTAATGTGATTTCCTTCTCTGTGCCAGGCAATTTGTGAAAAATGAGGCATTTCCTGAAAAACTCTCAGTTATAATGTTTTAGAATCAAAAACCCTTACCTTAATTTCATAGAGAATGATTACACAAACTTATTTCCAGAAACAGTCTGGCAAGAATCTGTCTTTTTTTGATCTTGGATGTGTATTGTCCCAACTAAAAACTGTTGGATTTGTGCAGTTCAAAGCGGAAGCAAAGGAAAATGATTTTTTTAAGATTTTGAAAGGATTTAATGAAAGATAAGATTGTTGGTTTGTTTTGTATTTTTCTTTTTTTTTTATAAACTATTTTCCCTTTCCTACATGACTTTCAAAATCAGAGAGACTTGAAGTCAGCTGAAAGAACTTATCCTGTGAAGGAGAGGAACCTCCACAAAGGACATTTGTGAACAGTGATGACAACAGAAGGAGGAGGTATGTGAGTGGCACACAATCTTTACTGGATATGGAAGCAAATAAGAAACCACAACTAAAAGAAATCAGATCCACCGTGGATAACAGCCTAGGGCTCAGCATTGTGAGGACTACAGGTTATAAACATCTCAGACACCATTGCCACCTTCACAAATAAAACATGGTATGTTCAGATGACAACATTTTCTGCAAAGCAGTGTTTTTAATAACTACTCAACAGTAATTTAAGATTATTGTATTACTGCATGGAATACGAACAGGTAAAATAATCACTCTGAAGATTAAACAAATGGAGGACTGTACAAGTTCAAGTTAGTTTTTCCTCTTCACTGGATATTGCTACTCCTGTTATGTTTCTTTCTGGCAGATGTAAAGTAGCTCACTTGAGAAACCACTGCATTTCCAAGAGAGCTCTGGATACACCAAGTACTCTTGAAAAATCTAGGCTTAATTGTGGATTTTATGCATTCAGAAATGTAGTAGTGACCAGCTCTGAGACAGTACCTTCTGCCAGTAATGAAGAGAATAATACAGATTGTATTTATAAGCAGTAGTGTACATATGCAACTTTCCCAAAGTAAAGGATCAGTATTTGCCAGCTGCTTTGTTTCAGATGTTAGATATTTCCTAGGGACAGCATAAAAACTTGGTAATAGATGATCACTTTAATGACTACTGGGAAATGAAAGCATTTTATGGCAACTGGTCTAGCTGCTGCAGTACACTTTAATCTCTGACCTGAAATACAGCTGCTACTTCAGAGCAAACAAAAGAGGCTTACAGACAACCAAGGATCAAATTTCTTGCTGTTCTGCATCTTGTATCATCATTTACCATTGTGAAAAGAGGAATAAATCATCTGCTTTTCAGACCTGATTGTACTGTGTACCCACTTTACCAAAGGATGAAGGATGACACAGGTAGGGAGACAATGGGGACTATGCCCACAGGGATTTATGTCTGCACTATTAGGCAGTTTGTGTTTTGAGCTAGTATGTTTTTCCCTTTGGACAGAATAATATTTAGGGAAGACACTTGATGCACATGTAAGAGAAACCAATACATTATTGAACAAATCTGTGTTGCCATGTTCTGATTGCTGTTTGCAAAAATATGCCATATATGAGAAACTAAATAATTCAGGATGGCTATCCTGTTCCCATATACATGTATTATAAACAAAATAGGAGAACTCTGTTTGCTGCCCTTGTCAGTAAAAATCAGCAAATTATCAGTGATGTATGGAGGCAATGTGGCAGAAAACTAAGAGTTATGAACACTGAAGTAACAAAGTTTTGCAATATACATTATATGACAGTCAGTAGATTAACATATAAGTAATACTACTGACAGTATTGGACTTTTATCCTGGATTTTGCAAAAGTTCTATATGTGAATGTATACCTTAAGTATTTATAGAAGACTAAAAATCTCTATTAGTTATACCATTTTGGGTTTTTATAACAAATGAGAGAATTTTTAAATTCCCAATATTTCCTATATGTTAGCTGCTAGAAACCCTGACTACCATCTCAGATGTGGCAAATTTAAGTTATTAAATGTCATTCCTGCACTGGTACAAACAAAACAAAATATAATACAAAACTAACAAAAATAAAATATGACAGATGTGTAAGTGTCAAACCAGATTTGTGCAGTCTATTGTAATCTGGTTTGAGGTGTAGATTGCAAGACTCCAGCATTTAAATCTCATCTACATCTCAGGGTATTGGTGTGTGTCACAATATTTATGTTTCAATACATTCACTGCCTTTATACTCCAAGGGATTTCTAGTTCCTATAAGAGGAGCCAGCTTTCCAAAATCCTGCTCAGAGATTCATAAACTCCTGTTGACCATGTCTTGTGCTCAGGTGCTGCAAAGAGCTCCTCTACAGGATCAGCTTTAAAGGTCAGGGGCAGCTCAAGCCATTGCTTTTTCTCATGTCCACCTGAAGGTTTAATACAGTCATTCCTAGACCTAAAATTTCCGAGCTAATGGCAGAACTGGTTGACCCTCATGCTCCAGGAGAAGCAAAAATTTTTAGCCAGAAAAGATGTTTTCTTTGTGGGATGAAAAGGTGATGTTTCCAGTACTTCTAAGAGAAGAATAGTAGCAGAACTGGCAAAATCCATAACACCAAGAGAGATTTAGGTTCATGCTATTGCATCATGTTTTTCTGGAAGCTGTATGGAGAATTTAAAGGCTTTTGAATTAACATAAATATTGCTAAATATGTTAAAGAATTAAAGTATATGCTTACAATAAAAGACAAGCCTGCATAATTTAATAAATGAAAGAATGTGAATCAGTCCCTGATTTTAAAAAATCTTTGTAAAATTTTCTCTTCCATCAGATTTTAAAAATACTTTATTCTTCCTACAAATTAAGGCAATGTAGGCCTTTGAGAAGGCTCATGCAGCTTTCCTCCCCGTAGCCAGTATTTCCATTCTGTACTGCAGAGGGGATTTCTAAACTGAATGGAAAGCAGCTTCAAGGGAAGATGCAAATGTAGTTAATGTTGTCATTCTCAAGACACTGAAGAAGCATTCAAACTGTAGTTTGCTTAAATGAAACTGTTTGGTCAGAATGTTTGAACTACATCGCCTCTTCATCAGTCTCAGTGGCTAGAATATTCAGGGGAATAGCTCCTTAATAATTTGCTTCAAGATAATAAGTATTCCACTTGGCAGTGCAAAACAGAAATAAGATAATCCCTGAAATAGGTGATTTTGAGGTCACCACTGTCAAACTGAAAAACGTTTGGCATATTTGTTGGGTAACAGGAATGAGGGAGAGAGGGTACAGATCTCCTGCAAGGCAGGAAAGATAATGAATAGTGAAGGATTGTGATGATTGTCACTCAAATAGTTTTCAGTAATGAGATTCAGCCTGTGTGTTCCTAGCAACAGATGCTCTCAAAGCCCCTGTCAGGAATGACCTTTAAGCACAGTATTTGTTGCAAAGAACCACAATATTAACTGCCTCTTCATACATTCAGATATCCCACATAATGCTTATGTTCTGCAGAACAATGAGATTTCAGGTTTTATTTCTTCAAATCTTTCGCTCTCGTTTCCCCCTCCAAGGACTGGAGCATGAGGAAAGGTTTGCTGTTATTGTGGAATACAAGCACTAATATTTGTTTGTCCCATTATCTGGAAAAAAAGGCTGTGCAAAACATGGGCAGTTCTGTAGCAGATGGAAAGATTTTTTGCCATTAGCATCATTCAGCTATTTAAGCAGGAGTGAAAAGGATTCCTCTTTAACCCTTCAAACTGAAAATTCTTTCCTGCTGCAACAATGGGTAAAAAATATAATAAATATACTAGAAAACTTATTTTTCTCAGCCAGACAACCAGCTAGAAATTCATGATAATTTACAAAGCAACAAAGAAAAGCTCTTTCATCTCATCCTTTCCCTAACCATCTACTCTCTTCTTTCTTAAAGAGAGTAATGTGTTAGAAAATAAGAAGTCACATCAAATTCAAAGCCTGTCCCTGAGTTTCTGGCCCCCACAAACACTAATGAAGGCTAGAATGAGGCCCAATATTCTTAGTTTTCTGACTTAATATCATTTTATATATATCTGATGATATTTTTGAACATAGCTATAATATAGTATAAACTATATCCTTTTCTCATCTGAGAAAACTTCCCCATAAAATACAACCAAATTTTAGAATTCTTTCCACCCTCTTTCTAATACTTTTCCTTCATGTACCTTGAAGAGTACCAGGACCTCCTGTGGATTTGTCCGGAATTAACTGCATATATCCTATCATAGACACAATTTCTGCCCTGGATGAAGCTCTCTAGCTGGGAGTATTACCATTTTTAACTGCATTTGTTTATCCTGAGGAGTCACTGATAAATGTGTACTTGTGCTCTATTTCCAGAGCTAGTATTCCATAAATGACACAACTCTAACTGGACTAATGTGTTGTGTATCAAAATAAAAATAGTTGCACTGTCAGGGAAACAAGGAAAGGACAGATAACTGAATGAAAAGGAAACTTCCCAGCCACCCATTTTAACATCTCTACCTGCTTTTTTCTGAGTGGGAGCTGAAAGGAAAAATGGAACAAGCTTTGATTTATTAGTTTGGGTTCCCATGTAGGGGCTGTAGAAGTAACAAAAATATTTATTAATGTTTGCAAAGAGTGTAATTTAATATTGATTCTTCTTTCTCAACCTTGTTTAGCTACTGGCATGTAGAGACTATTAGAATGAAAGAAATATTTATAATATTTATTATTTCAACATCCACAACTGCAGCATTCTTCTGGTGTATATAACCTACTGAATTAATTCTTTCTTCTCTTTGGTTGATAATTAGAATTTATGTTCTTGTTGTGAAACCTCACATATTCTCATTTTATCAGCAGCAACTCAGATTAATACTATAAAACCTCGAATACTCTGTGCAGAGATATCTGCTTGACAAATTAATCAAGGAAAGAGCTTTCTATTATTAGTGTTCTCTATTTTGAGCAGGTGTAAGCTAAACTCTTTTACTGTTTGTTTTTTCTTTTCCCCTCTGGTTTTTGCTCTGAAGCCCCAAGCCTATGGTAGAGCCCTTCTTTGCACCTCCTGGATTCATGTTCTTGAGTTTCCCCTTTACATGTCATTAATCAGCTTATTGCTTTCTCTGAACTTTTGGGTGTTAATAAATTGAAGGGAGTTTTGTAGCTATGGGAACAGTGGAAGAAATAGAAAATATATTTATCAGAAGGAATCCAGGTACTCAAGCAGTTTTGTTAATCAAAGAGCCTCTTACAGATTATGGTCATGACAGTGAGGATAACTAAGCAGGATGTGATTTATCATAGCCAGCATTGGATTTTCCCTCAATGTTAATTTTTTAAATTGTTTTTCATAGAAGTCCTTACCTGAAAGAAAGCAAACATAATTTGGGGCAGTTCTATATCCTGTGTGATAGAGAGTCGCCACAACTGTTTTACATTATGTGCCTTCTATACATTATGAATCACCATAATGCTTGAATATTTTATTTTCCTTATGGCCTGGGAATTGAAAGGATGTGCACATTTGCCCTTGGGTTTGTTATTTCATCCTCTTGCCTACCATTTGCACGTATATTTTCATTTCATTGGCTCCCATCAGTTCCTTGCACAGGAAACCAGTCTGTTTGAAGGAA